CCCGTTGTTCACAGTGTTGGTCAGTCCAGTGAGTGCTGTCAATCTTGTTTATGCTGCAAAGAGAAACTAGCACCTGTAGTCGATGATGAACGCTAACGGGAAGCTAATAGGCCTCGGCCTTTTCAAGTTAAAAGATATAATTTCAGTACCACTTATAAAAAGTTGTGTATATATTTGACCCTGTGTGGATTCGAGGAAATGAATTAAGTTGTGCACCCAGATTTGTTTTTAAAGTCTGTAATGGTTTGTGCTGTTCAATGCTGCTTCATAGAAACCATTAAAAGCCCAAAATGACCGTGACATTCATGCCTGTGATGAGTGATGTAAACTTCTGTCCACAGCTGGATGTGTGCCTTGTTCTTCCTCTGAGTCTCTCTAATCTCTGCCGTCAGGATCCGTGTGGCCGGGATCAAAGGTCTGCAGGGCGTGGTGAGGAAGACGGTGAACGACGAGCTGCAGGCCATCATCTGGGAGCCGCAGCACATGGACAAACTGATCCCATCCATGCTGTTCAACATGCAGGACAGTGAAGACCTGGACAGGTACGACACACGCCAAAGCTGCCACGCGCTCGCCTCGAACCGAGATCTCCCTGCCGTGCGTCGTGTTCCCGTGACTCATTATTCTCTGCCCTGAATATGGAACTGGAGCGACGGCTGTCTCTCAGGCAAATGTTTGATTTTCTGAAGTGAGAGCTGTTCTATTTCAGAGGTGACCTTTTTTTAATGGGCCACACAGTAACGCACAAAAACTGCCAATCAATTATGCTGAGCTGCTGCTTTTCTCTCCAGGCAATCAGCAAAGTCAACTAGTTTTCCTGCAGCATCAAACTTTTCTGCACACGCGGGAATGAGTGTTATTGTTGTGAGGCCAGCTCTCATTCAGCTGTCACCTTCACCAAAAACTCTCCAATCAGACAGGATCTGCAAATCGTGGTGAACGATTGAGGCCTCAGAGGTTTGAAGGCGCAGGGCGTCGTAGCTGCAGGGCTCTCTCTTAATGATAGGGTGAGACGTTCGCAGGGTTTTAATAGTTTTGCAATTTTCATTATTTTTTATTTTTATTTAGTTTTGACTTCAGATTTTCAATTTTATATCAGTTTTAATTAGTTTTTACCAATTGTTTGCTA